GTTCTTGCAGAAGACCCAGGTTCAAATCCCAGCACCCACATGCACGCAATACACTCATACACATTAAAAAAAAATAAATCTTTTAAAAGGCACTGTGGGGGCTGCAAAAGGTGCAGACAGGGTAGGGGGGCTAAATATGATCAAAATATAATGTATGAAATTTGCAAAAATTCAATTTAAAAAAGCACTATGTAACCTACTTAGAATGCTTTCTTTAAAATATATTTTTAATTATTTTATATGTATGAGAAGAGGGTGTCAGAGCACCTGGAACTTACAGGAGGTTGTTAGCCACCATATGCTGGGAACTGAACTCAGGCTCTCTGCAAGAGTAGGCAGTTTTTTTTTTTTTTTTTTTTTTGAGACAGGGTTGCCCTGTAGCTTCAGCCTGGAACTCACTGTGGAAACCAGGCTGGCCTGGAACTCAGAAATCCACCTGCTCCAGAGTCCAGAGGGCTGGGATTAAAGGCGTGTGCCATCGTGCCCAGCCCACAGTCAGTGCTCTTGACTACTGAGCCCTCTCTCCAGTCCCTAAATCAGTGTTCCTACTTTGGTTTTTTTTTTTTTTTTTTTTGAGACAGGGTTGCCCTGTAGCTTCAGCCTGGAACTCACTGTGGAAACCAGGCTGGCCTGGAACTCAGAAATCCACCTGCTTCTGTCTCCAGAGGGCTGGGATTAAAGGCGTGTGCCATCGTGCCCAGCCCACAGTCAGTGCTCTTGACTACTGAGCCCTCTCTCCAGTCCCTAAATCAGTGTTCCTACTTTGGTTTTTAGGGCTTTTTGCTTTTGTTTTTGAGACAGGGTCACCCTGTAGCCCAAGCTAGCCTAGAACTATGTAGACCAGGCTGGCCTCAGTCTCACAGAGATCCGCCGGCATCTGCCTCCTGAGTGCTGGGATCCAAGGTATGCACCACACCCGGCTCCTAATCAGCTCTTTAATAAGCTCTGTCTTTCACAGTTGGCAGACTTCATTCCTCGTCCCTAGCCATTTCCTAATTTCTCTGCATAAACTTAAGAATGCCAGCTTGACCTTCTGTCTCTTCATCTCGTTAATGGCACTCTACCCCTGTGTTTTCTCTTCCAGATGACAGGAAATTCGGAGCGCACAAGACTCCATGCCAAGTCCAGGCAGGTAAGTGCCTGCTCTGTCTGTGCCGCAGGGCGGTACCCCAGGGGCGCTCCCCATGTCCTCCTGAGTTTCTTCTCCCCACAAGGCACCTTCCCAGTGATATCCTCATTATAGTAACTGAGCAGGGAGCACCAGACTTCAAACCCCCTTGTGATTCCTTCACTTGAGTGGTCGTGTGCGTTAACACGTGTACGTGAATGTGTGTGCACAGTATACTTGTAAGTGAACGTGTACATGTGGTGGGAGTTGGAAAGCCCACAGCTGTCCTCCATTACCCCTCAGCCCTCTGTCTGCCCACCTTAGCCCTCAGCAGGCCTCCGGCCTTGGGCTCTAGAACCAGCATTTCTGCAACTGCTCTGGAGACAACAGAGCTCCCACAGGGCTGAGGCATGGTCCTTACTCAGCTCAGTTCTGCACTGGGTGTCCCCGTGCTCCAAGGGGACCTTTGTCCCCATTATTAACAGTCCCTTCATCTGGGCAGCTGCAGAGATTAGGAAACCCACGGTCCCTGGACGAAATCCAACCCTGCACATGAAGATTTTCATTTGAATCTGGTCATTGAAACCTACAAGAGGAGGGCTCCCCTGGGAGTCCAGGACCGTTACTGAAGAGTGCTCAGAAACCCACACAGGGAGTCACCGTGACAGCCACGCAGCCCATCTGGCAGTTAGGGTTTAAGTCACGGGGGTCAGAGAGCAAGTTATTGGGCTGGGAAAATAGCTTAGTCTGTAAAGTGCTTGAGCTGAGGACCTGAGTTTGATCCCCAGAACATACTCCACAACACGTGCTTGAAATCCCAGCATCAGGGTGGTACATACAGGTAGAGATCTGGGGCTTGCTGCCCAGCCAGCCCAGCCTTATCACAGGTGAGCCTCTGTGAATTTAAGGCCAGCCTGGCCTGCACAGCAAGTTCCAGGCAAGCCAGGGCTACATAGTGAGACTGTTTTCAAAAGACAGGGGGACCAGGTGTGGTGGTGCATGCCTTTAATCCCAGCACTCAGGATGCAGAGGCAGGTGGAGGTTTGCAAGACTGACGCCAGCCTGGTCTACATAGGGAGTTCCAGGCCAGCTGGGGCTACAGGAAGACCGTGTCACCTGCACACATGGGAATATATACATATGTGCTCCACCACACCACACACAAACAAGAAAGTTTTCTGATTGGTCTGGGCAATCCAGTCCAGATGGGGGCAGAAGAGAGGAGAGCACTCTGGGCTGAGCCCAGTGCTTGGTATGGGTGTGTGTCCTGCGAGACTTGGCCATGAAAATGATCTTTTGGCCTCTTGATGAAGAGCGGGATGGGCAGGGCTGAGAACTGACATGCAGATAGACTAGTGGAACTCACATGCACCTCAGGTCCTCAGCCTGGAGAAGGCAGCTTTCTCGGGTCAGCCTGTATCACAGCCCCAGGTCTGCCCTGTTCCCTAGCTGCAGTGAGCCCAGGGCGCCCACCATAGGGACCACCATCTCTAGTTCTGAGGGAACATAAGCAGAGTCCACCTGGGCTTAGAAAACTTATGGTGTGGCATTTTTCATTCCTGTTCAGTACAAGAGGCACAGGCGACACTGGGACATGGCTTTCCTGCTCAAAGCCTGGGCTGTTTGCTCTTGGAGCCTGCGATGACCTCTGGTCTAGAGAACTTTTTGGAGAAGGATCTGTAAGGGCCACTGTCTTATTTTTAAGACAATGTTTCATGTAGCCCAGGCTGACCTTGAATTTCTCATCCTCCTGCCTCTACCCTCCAAATGCTGGGATCACAGGTGTGTGCTACCACACCCAGCACTGTAACTGGGCTGTTTGAAAAGGTGACTCCAAGATGCAGAGTGGCTTCTTGTGAAGGCACAGATGTAGAAGCCTATCAACCCTGAAAGGCAATTGCTCAACAATTCCTCTGGAGTGCGGGTAACTCCCTTCCTCCCCCTCCTTCCCAAGCTCTGGCTTTCATGAACACACCCAGGTACAGCCAAAAACTCTTAAGGGCCACCCCCAGCTGGGAAAGGCCAGTGGCAGCTCACAGTCTCCTGCCCAGCTTCCAGAGTCCGCTGGCCTGACACCTTCTCCTGCAGGAGGGACACATCTGGGGCTCCATGAAGAGGACGGTGCTCATCCTGGGCTCCGGGCTGCTGCTGTTTGTCGCCTTCTGGAACTCAGTCACATGGTAAGCCTGCTCTACTGGGATCTGCAGTGGTGTGGGGTGAGAGGAAAGAGCCGCCTGCCCAGTCTTCTCCCAGAAACCAGAAAGCTTTTCTTCCAAGGCATCTTCAGAGATTTTGGGGTGCTTCCGGATACTTTTGGCAGGCACAATGGGAGAGGCTGCTGTCCGCATTTGAAGGCACCGAGTGGTTCCTCTTCATCATGGGTGAGGCTCCAGAGTCTTCCTTTGCCCACTTTACTTTTATTCACTTTGTGCCTGTGTGTGTATTGGGGGTGGTGAGCTTGCCACATCGTGTGTATGGAGATCAGAGGACAACTTGCATCAGTCAGTTTTTTCCTTTCACTTATGTGGGTCCTGGGGATCGAACAGTCTGGCTTAGCAGCAAGTGCCTTTAAGTGCTGAGCCAGTTCCAAACTGCTATTTTATTGTTATTTTGTGTGTATGAGTATTTTGTCTGCAAGTATGTAAGTGCACCACATTTGTGCAATGCCCATGGAGACCAGAAGAGGGTGATGGATACCCCTGGAATTGGAGTTAAGGATGGTTGTTAGCTGCCATGTGGGTCCTGGGACCCAAGCCCTAGGCCTCTGCAAATGCAGCCAGTGCCCTTAACGTCTGAGCCATTGCTCCAGCCTCCAAACTGCTATTTTTCAGCAAAGGTTTTTATTGACTGCTTGTACACATCCTGCTGTTAACAATGGCTGCTTCCAGGTCTTCTGTCATATGGGAAGACCCTTAGTTCACTTCCTACAAACAGACGTTTAGGTTGCTTTAAATATTTGTGATTTATGTGCAAATATACCTGTCCTTGCTTTGTCTCTTTTTTACTTAAGCTACTTTCAAATTGTCCATAGTTTCCTCACAGCCCTGGCTGTCTCTCTGACCCCAGGCATTGGGTCCGATTAGGCAGGAAGGGGCTCGAGGCGGGGGTGAGACGGCTCAGTGGAATGGTGTCTTTTTCCCTTAGGGTTCTGAATCTAGGGGCAGTTGGGTAACACTGCGGTGCCCCTTGGGCAGCAGCCACGAGTGGCCAGTGGGCTGCTGCCCACAGTGGCTTCCAAGTAGAATGAGGAATGGAAAGTCACGTGTCTTGGTCAGTATCTTTATTTGAGGCAGGGTTTCCCTGTATGTAGCTCCAGCTGGCCTAGAACTGGCTATGTAGCCCTGGCTGGCCTTGACCTTACAGCAGTCCACCTGCCTCCCAAGTGACGTAGTATCTTAATTTTTATTGTGTCTGATGTGAATGGGCACACGTACAGATATGTTACACATGTGGTCAGAGGCCCACGCTGTGGAGTTGGTTCTCGTCTACTTCTACACGGGTTTTGGGGATTGAACTTATGTCATCAGGCTTGTGGGGCAAACGTTTTTTGTTTTTGTTTTCTTTTTTGAGACAGGGTCTCCCTGTAGCCCCAGCTGTCCTGGAACTCACTATGTAGACCAGGCTGGCCTTGAACTCACAGAGATCAGCCTACCTCTGCCTCCCGAGTGCTGGGATTAAAGGCGTGCACCACCACGCCTGGATGTTTTGTTCTGTTTGAGGACAGGGGCTCCCTGTATCCCCAACTGATCTGGAACTGTGTAGACCAGGCTGGCCTTGAACTCCGAAGAGATCTGCCTACCTCTGCTGGGATTACGGGCTTGCGCCACCACACCTGGCTTTGTGGGGCAAACATTTTACCTGCTGACACATCTTGTCTCTATATTTTTCTCTTGATACAAGTTTCATGAGTCCCTGGCTGGCCCAGAACAGGCTCTGTAGCCAAGGATGACCTTGAACTTTTGACCCTCCCTTCCTTTGATCAGTATTCTCTCCACATTTTACAGAACAGTGATGTGGAAAATACGTCAGGTGGTCCGTTGCCCTTTGATCAGTATTCTCTCCACATTTTACAGAACAGTGATGTGGAAAATATGTCAGGTGGTCCGTTGCTTTGTCATCCAAATAGGGAGACTCATGACAGCGAAAGGACAGCAGTCACACCTGCGACACCAGCAGGCAGCTAAGGCAGAGGGATAGCTGGGAGTTTGGGGTCTGCCTGGACTACACAGTGATACCCTGTCTGAAAAGGAAAATTTTAAAAAGGAAAATTCTGCTTGAATGATCGTATATAATTCAAGGCTGACCTGGGGAAATGGGGCTCGTGACGCCCTATTTACTGGTCCAACAGGGTTGAGAAAGGCAGACAGGATCTTGCTATGTACACCAGGCCACCCCTAACTCGTGGTGATCCTCCTGCCCAGCATCTGCACTGCTGGGACTATAGGCATGTACATAGTGCCATGCCTGGTCTGGAAAGGTGGATTTTAAGGAAGCCCAACAGGTTTCTCTGCTGTTAAGACTCAAAGTTGGGAACATCCCAGCAGGACCTGTGGCTCTCCAAAGTAGGAGGGAAGGACTGACTGGAGACACTGGAGGCCCTACTACTTAGTTACTAGGGCACAGGGGCTTCCTGACGCAGGCCTGGGCCTCACTGGGAACACCATGGTGCTGTGGGGCTTCTCCTTACTTGGCAGTTCATAAAAGGCTCAGTGGGCATGGACCTCCCAAATGCCATCTGCCTTCATCTCTGGTGGAGTGCTTCTTTTTTTTTTTTTTTAAATAGAAGGAAGAGTTTATTTGAGCTTAGGGTTCCAGGGGAATTACAGTCCGTCATGACAGGGAGGCATGGTGGCTGGAGGTGCTGGAGCAGGAGCAGCAGAAGCTAAGCTCTCACATCATCACACAGGCACAGGAAGCAAGAGAGCACCTGGAGATCCAGCAAGGCTTAAGAACTCTCTAAGCCCACCCCCAGTTGACGTGCTTCCTCCAGGATAGCCACACCTTCTAAAACCTCCCAGAACAGCACCACCATCTGGGGACAGACGGTCCAAACAATTGGAGCCTGTGGGGGACATTTTCATTCAAACCATCACACTGGTGGAGTGTTTCTATTCATGTGTCTTTGCGTATATGTGTGTGTGCACACCCTCAGGCACACATGCACACACACACACACACACACACACACACACACACACATGGCCCCTCCCCATCTTGACTGTTGAAGTCAGGAGGACTGTGACAAGTTTGAGACCAGCCTGGGCTAGAGTGAGACCGTCTCAAAACAAAAACACCTAAAAGTACCCCCCTCCCTGAAAAAAGGGAGCAAACCAATATACTTAGTGACTGATGGCTACTTTGGCATCTAGGACTGAAGGTGAGCCCTGGTCACAAGCAGTGAGTCACCTGGCAAGGAGAGTTTCAGGCACATGTGCATTCAGTTCCGTGTGTACTATAGTCTGTTCACCCTGACACCCCCACCCTCCGTCCTATCCACAGGTGCTGCCCTCGTGCCTGGGCTGTGCTTCTGGGGCCTCAATGCCTCTCTACTGGTGGTAGACACAACAGGAAAACCCGCCTTCATCTCCCGATACCGCATCCAGCTTGGCAAGAATGAACCGGTAAGTGCTGCTGTGGCTCCAGAGCTGGGGAGCACAGGTCGGGTGAGTCATGGTGTCTTTAAGTTGGCCAGAACTTAGAAGGCTAGAGAGAGAGATCTGGGGGTGCAGCTGGGTTGGCAGAATGCCTGCCTAGCATTCATGAAGCCCTGGGTTCAATCCCAACACCACATAAACCACATTTGGCAGCACATACCTGTAGTCCCAACTCAGGAGGTAGAGGGAGGAGGATCAGAAGTTCAAGGCTGTCTTCAGCCTCAATGGGTGTTTGAAGCTAGCCAGGCTCCATGAGACCCTGCCTTTAAAAAAGGAGGGAGGATTAGCTCAGCAGGTAAGGGCATTTGCCATCAAACCTGACAACCTGAGCTTGATCCCTGGGACCCACAGAGTACAAGAAGAGAACCAATTTCCATTATCCAATTCAACCAATAGCATGAGGTGCCAGGGCGAACCCACAGGAAGGCAGGCCCGGCCCAGCTTCCGCAGCGGACGCTCACTTAGGCAGAAGGTGTCTCGGTGCTGTGAGCTTGCCTGCCTGGTGCTCTGCCAGTCTCCACAGACCTTTCCTTACATAAGGACCAGGCTGACTCTGAAAACAAGCTGTTTGCCCAGCTCTACCCAAACCAGGTCCTGGCTGCTTTTCCAGTTAAGACAGTCATCTCAATCTGCCCAGGTCCCGGGGTGACTCACCCCAGCTCTCAGGGCAGCTGGCCCAGCATGACACCAGAAAGGCAGGGTGGGTAAAATGGCCCCTTCCTGACTTAGGTCGGCGGGCAAGCGCCCCAGTCCCCCTCACTTGAGGTGACAGCCTCCAGCAAGCAGGGGAGAGGCTTCCTCCAGTCCACCTTGCAGAGCACAGACCAGCACCCTGTGTCAATAGTCGGCCCTTTGGCCCTCAAGAACCTTTCATCTGCCAGACCTGGCTGTCTCCACAGCAGCCACCACTGACTAAATGTCTTCATCTTCAATGTTGAGGACTGTGGTGACTGTCAGTGAGAAAACAAGGCTCTGCAGTGGCCCCTGGATGCAGATCGGCCCTGTGCCCCCTTGAAACAGGGTCTCGTGTACCCCAGGCTGGCCTCCAATCTTCCTGCTTCCACCTGCCCAGTACTGATTACAGATGTGCACCACACCTGGCTTACTGCATTGCTGGGGATCAAACCAGGGGCTTTGTGCCTGCCATGCCCCGGCCTCAGCCTGAGGCTTTCCAACTCCAGAGCTCCCAGGGGTCCCCACCAGGCCACAGCTGAGTACCACCTGCCACCTGGTACCTTTCAGAGTATAGAGTAGTAGGTGGTGCGCCTGCCTCTCAGAGGCCAAGGTCTAGTGTGATGAGCAAGTTCTGACTTACCAGGCCCCAGGGGCAGGGCTGGGCCCACCTGACCCCAAGTCCAGCACTCTGGGCCTCAGACTTCCAGGACACAGTAGGAAGAGCCTCAGGGACCTGGCTGGCTCTAGGACAGGCTGCCATGCAACAGGAGGACCCCAGGAACAGACCCTGCTGCAAGATGATGGCCGCCTGCATTCCTAGGACCCCCTCCGGGCCTGCCCATATTGCCACTCTCCTGTGCTCACACCGCTCTCCTCTCCCAGCACCTCCTCCCTAGCCTGGCTCTCACTGCACTGAGGAAACAGACTCGGACTCACCCCACGCCCCCACCCCCGCAGCACTGGGCCTCATGCTCTGCCCCCTCCACACAGCAATTTCATCCTGCTCGTCTGTCTGTATCTGCTCCAGCAGACTTGCTTCTTCTGATCTTTCGCTCTCCCCACCCAGTTTACTTCTCTGGGCATCACTACAAATCATCTTTATCTTTTCTAAATAAAACACAATCCAAACCTTGGCTGGGTGTGGTGGCTCGCACCTGAAAACCCAGCACTCCTGCAGGCAGGGAGAACTAGTTAAGGGTTCTGGCTGCCCTCAACCCCTGCCCACCACTCCACCTACCACACACCCCACCACTCCTCATCACCCTTTTGGCAAACTCTTTGATAGAGCTGTTTTTGTGTCATTTTTTCTTAACATGTAAAATGTTTTACTTTTGTTTTTTTTTTTTTTTTTTTTTTTTTTACGGGTTCCC